CTGCCCAAGACTGGGAGGATACGAACTTCGAGAGTTTCGTATCGGGTGCGACCCCCAGAAGGCTCACGGCGAGGGGCATCTCCGACCTTCAAAACCCCTTCGGGTTTCGGGGACGATGAGCTTGGCGAGTCATTGAGGACGAGTCGGTTCCCCAGTTGTCCGTTTCCCTGGGGGGGTCCTCAGTTGTCCGTTTCCCTGTGCCCCGCATCATCGCCTCGGCGCGCGGTGGGGACAGCAGCGCTTGACGACAAAAAAAGAGAGAGCATTTTACTAGCGGCGAGCTGTGTAGCAACAGACCAGTGGCGTCAGCGAGGCAGACGGCGACGACAAAACTAGGCACAAGACAGCGGCAGTGGCGCTGCCTAGGCGCCTAACGCCTGCGCAATCGGAGGGCGAGAGGGGGGAAGTGAGTTACGGCTGAAGCAATGCCGATACGGGCAAATATTCTTCCAAGCACTGGGCAGGACCCCTCTTAGAGTTGGGGTGTTGCCGCCGGGAAAACCTCTGCCAAGAGTCCCTGGCGCCGTGCGAAGGAAACCTCAAATTACAATTGGATTTCAAGTTACGGAGGTTCCCTGACTCAGAGTAAGCACCGCACCGGCTGCAAATGAATACCACCCCAAGTGCATAATTGGAAACGTGCAGAATGTGTTTCCGAGGATTTTGCACCAGCTGGGTGAAAGCTTCACTGTGGCCTCTGCACGGGCTCACTGTCGGTGCCGGCTTGTTGACTCCTCTGGAAAATGTCAAGCATATGCGGCAGACCCATCTGCTGTGCTTCCAAGCCCAATCGTGCTCTCTGATCGGGCCTGGAGGGCGGCGACCTGGCCGAGGATGAAGGCCAGGAGGGGGAGGTGGGGGCGGAGGTGGGGCTGGGTCTGGCAGCACTTGCCGCGCCGCACCTACCCCTGTGATGAAGCCTTCCTCGCGGAGCGATTTGTCGAAAACCGACCGCATGGCTTTAGAAGGAGCTATTTTTGGAAATAGCAGCAACGCCTGCACAGCATAAAGCAAATAACGCCTCAGGGTCTCCGACTCTTCCTTCCAGCTTTCCTTCTCAGCCTCTGACGGCTGAGGAAGTGACAGTGCAAGGAGGAGGAGGAGGAGGCCCCCTGGGGGTCCCAAAACGCCTGAATCCGCCCCCCGGAGGCCCTGAGTTTTCAACATTTTTTTTTTTTTTTTTTTTTTTTTTTTTTTTTTTGTAAAGATCGTTCCCATTGCAAAAATACGGTGGATTTGGCCGACCCTCCAATCTTCAAATGTCACATCCATGGATTTGCCATTTTTTGAATTTCATGTGGCGGCCTGAAAGTGTCGTCTTCTTGGAGAGAAAATGGCCACTCGGGAAACTCATGTTGAAAACTCGGCCGGGGGCGTTGGATTCTGAGCGGATTATGTAATTTCCCGGCTCCCCCTCCCTCCCTCTCCTCCTCCTCTTCCTCCTCCTCCTCCTCCTCCCCCTCCCCTTGTTCCTCCGTCCTCCCGCCCCGTAAGCCGCACCTGGACAGCGCATTGGCACGGAGGTGTTGCGAATTCGCACGTGCTTAAAAACACAGGACAACGAATACGCCATGCAAGGGGACAGGTATGTAATCATCAGCAGTCATTGTATTTGGTGATCCGTTGTTTGGTTACCTGCGAGCGATAAGCGCCAAGGAGGAGGGGAGGAGGATGGGGAGGAGGGAAAAAGAGCAGAGCAGTCAGTCAGCTAGAGGGCGCAGTGCTTCCTGACTTTCGCTTGCCAGTCAGAGGGATTATGTAGCAGAGCTTGTAGCGTGGCAGGGTCGTTGCCCGCCAGTGCTAGGGCTTTCGCCCGCCCAGGCGAGTTTATGTGACCAAGGAAGGGTGGACGCAAAGAAGGGGACACCCGAACCGAGCGAAGGAGGGAGGAGGAGACAGAGGAGGATGGATGGATGGATGGATGGACGGATGAGGGAGCGGGGAGAAGGCTGATGAACAGGAGGAGGAGGAGGAGGAGGAGGAGGAGGAGGAGGAGGAGGAGGAGGAGGAGGAGGAGGGAGGAGGGAGGAGGAGGAGGAGGATAAGGAGGAGGCAATGAACGAGCCGAATAACCAGAAGCCTCTTGAATGCCTTTCGGAGTCTCCTCGAATATCACTTGGAAGTTGTTTGACGCCCCTTGAGGGGTTTTGGGGGTCTCTTGGCGGTCCAGAGGGGGCTCTTGGGCGTTTTGGG